TCTTTAACTAAAATTTTTATATCGGTAGTAGCGAAGGTTAATTGTGAATTGTTCTTCTGATATTATTTTGTGGCTATAATCTTAAAATGGAAAAAGGGGTAAATGACTTTTTAATTTTGTAATAATTTTTTTTTTGTGTAATGTAAAAATAAATCGGAAATGCTTACCTAAATCCATGAATGTAACCTGAAGTTGTTTCGTCCAGCAATACAAATTTTAATTGATGTTATAGTAAAAATATAATTGACTAGCATTTAAAATATATATTTGACTAGCATTATAATTGATTAGCAATTAATTTGTTTATTTTAATATGTAAATAAAAAATTTATTGACAAATGAGTAAACAAAACAAGTGTGTACAATAATTTGTGGTGTAATTTTGGAATAAAGAAGTTTTAATATTGAAATATTCATTAATTTTCTCAATGAATACAATGAAAACATAATATGTTGAAAATATCAAAAACACAAACCCATAATTTAAAAAATTCTCCCCACAGAATTTCTACCGATTTTACTATTTTGTAAATATTTTACGATTTAACGATCTTAAATTACGATTTTACGATATTAAGAATATTCACCCCAATTAATACCGGTTAATAAAATATTTATCGTAATTAAATTTCGAACATTATTACAGGCACAAATAAACAAAATTATATTATGCTGGTTTATGTCTTAAATATTATTTAGATTATTTTTAACGATGCTATTTGCATTATTATTTTACGATAAATAAATAAAAATTACAGAACAAAAAGTATATAGGAAAATTTTATATTTTGAACAAAATAAGGAAATTAAAATTCCTTTTTTAAAACTTATTTTTCAATAGAAATTTCCCTATTTTTTTTTTTTTTTGAAATTTTAAATATTTAATGTCTATTGATTTTTTAAAAAATCATTATGTTATTGTGACAGATATGTTTATCCGTAAAAAATAAGTCAAAATTAGTGCAATAATTGAATATAGCTATAATTAGTACCTTGAATTGGATCACTACAAAATAGTAGTTTCAAATTGGATCACTGATCAAAAATTAAATAATTTCAATTCGAACTTCGAACATATGCAGTTTTTATTTACAATCATTGGTGTTATTGTTAAACCACTATTGTATTTTGTAAAACTTTAAAGACAAATATAAAATAACGTCCTGGGTAAAAGTAATACCCTCTAATGTAAATGTTACTTTGTATTTGAATTCATTTTAACAATACAAAATCGCTAGATATTGACAATATTGGAAGGGGTAGGCTCTTGAAATTTGAACATAAAAATATGTTTTAAATTTTAATGAATTGAAAAGAGAAACAGAGGCATGCACTTATTGTAACCGAACAAATATTGCAATTTGCTAATCAAACGATAGTAAAAATAATAAAGTTTTTTAAATTATTTTTATTCCTTCATTTTATTTTTAATGCATTTATATTTTTCTCTATTTTCATATATTTGTTGAGTTCTTCTATTTTCTAACATTTTCTCTTTTATTTCATTTCGTTTTTTTCGGTTTTCTTTAAGGAGATTTTTTTGTATTTTTCTTGTATTTTTACAAATGTAAAACTTTTATTTAACTTAAATTAATAAAATTGTATTTAATTTTTTCTGTTTTTTTTTTTTTTTAATTTCTTTGGTTTTTATAAATAAATAGTCTTAATTTTTAATAATAATTTTTTTTAATAATAAATTTCATAAAATTTAAGCTATTTTTAGCATCAACTTTAATTATTTTATAGTTTTTGTTTTTTTTTTTTTATTTAAGTATTTTGTATATGAAAAGAAATTCGTATTTTCTAAAGCTTTATTAAATTTGTTATGTTTTTTTTTTGTTTTTTCAAGTTTTTGTATAGTAAAGTATTTTTACAATTTGTTTTTTAATTTTTTATGAAAAATTTCATTTTTTATTTATATTTCAATTTAAATTTATTTGTTTTAATAATTTTATTTTAATTAAATTTTTACTTTTTATTTTGTTTTGTCTTTTTTAATTTTTTAAGGTGAAAATTTATTTAAATTTAATTTATAACTTATAATTTTCAAGAAAGGAAGAGTAAAAAATTAAATTAGAAACAGAATGTAGTGACGATGGAAGAAGAAGAACAAAGTAGTTAAGGTTATTAAAGAAATAATATGTTAAATATGAAATTTATATTAAATTAAATTATGCTTCCAAGTTAAAATTTGTTTTAAAATGAAGGTTTTATAACCAAATGTGGTAAATATTATGAATGGATCGCAAAATTTGAATGTTCTGATTAGAATGCTACATATGAAATATTTTGAGAGTATTTTAACGTAATAAACAAAGCTTTTGATGATTCTAGCAATATAATTATGAATTTTTTTATTTAGTGACTTACGCGTCTGTTCAAGGGATACACATAGGCCATTTAGACCCGTTGTGTTAGTGACTTAATTACTCCAATTATTGCTGTATTTTAATATTTTCATTTAAAATAAAACAAATATTAACGTTAATTTTAGAATAAATTTGATAGTTTCCCGTTCTGTTTTTCAGTAATATAGCAAAAAACAAAAATTACTTGCCCTAAAACAAAATTAAATGCTAATATACAATATAAATTTCAAACTAAAGTTGGTATCAAGACAAAATTTAATCATAAGAAGTTTTTCTTTGAACAGGATCTGAAAACTTGCTTAATATTCTCTTTCTTTCTCACTGTTAAACCATTTATGAATATATCTGAATAATTATTAATTTTAAAATAAATATATGCAAAATAACTAACATAGTTTGAATAAGAACTAAATAAACTAATTAAATTATTTTATTTATGTTATCAACCATTTTTTTTACGATTTCGCTACATAGATCATTCATTTTTTCTTTATATACTTTACACATTTTTTAAGAGTTTTTCACATTTTTATTTTAAATTTTTTACAATATTACATGAAAACATCTATTCACCAATTAATTTCTTTAATTTTTAATATTTTTTTTAATACAATTAATTTTTTTTTATTTTATTTAATTGATTTTAATATTAATTTAATTTACGTATTGATATTTTTTGATTTTTTTTAAATAGATTTAATTTTTAACTTTGCTTTTTCTTTTATTTTAAGGATATGTGTATGTGTATAGAAATGGAATAAAATATTTAATAATTAATGTATGTATATGTATTTTGTGTGTATGTATATAATTTACAGAAAATTAATTTATTTAATTTTTTATAATATCTACATTATTTTAATATTTTCTTTCCAATTTCTCATTTTGATTGCTCATTTTATGGATATGACACAATTTATAATGTACAACATTTGGTTTTTTACAATACAGCTACGAAAAATCTATTTTAAATTTAACAAATCGTTTATTGAAAAAAATAAAAATTTAATAATTAAATAACAAAATACGAAAATAACAAAAATATAATGGTGTAGTACTAATTGCCAATACTGTGTAATATAGAATTGTTATATTGTATGTTCTATTCCACATGTAATTAATGTTTGCGTGTTAAAGAAAATAAGTTTTATTATAGAAATAAGAAATTAGGAGCAGAGGATGAAATGTTCGGGACCAAAATGACGTTTTGCAAATAAAATTGATTACTTTAGATTGTTATATGGCAATATTTTTATAATATCCTCCATGTTATCAAATTGTTGCAAAATTTGGTTTCTTATCTGTTACCAAAGCAAAATTATAAAAAACCAACCGGTGTTTTTCAAAAATAAAAATAAGAAACTGCTAAAATAGTTATTTTAATCAAAACAAAACTAATTTTTTAAATTCAAATTGCTTAAATAATGAATTAAAATATTTTGTATCAAAATATTTCAATAAATCTTATAATCTTATAAGATTTAAATTTATTTTAATTACAAAACTAAAGACAAATATTGTGATAAATGTTGAAAAATACTGTTGAATTACTTTTTAATTTAAACTTAGCCCTATCGCATCAACAATTTTTACTTTTGCTTTTGCTTTTCAACTTTTTAAAAACTTCTTTTATTAATATAAGTTCAGTAATATTTCAACTTTTAGTACAACAGAAACTTAGCAAATTTATGGATTAATTGATTAGAAAAATAAAAAGTAGTTGTTGCAATAAGGACCTGATCTAGTTAAAATCTATTCTTAGTTGACGCACCGCAAACTAAAAATATTTGAAATTTTATTCATGTTTAGATTTTTGTTACAACTAAAAATAAGTCAATGATATTGGCAATTAGTACTATACAACATCCTTTATCCTATTAATTATACTAATATAAAAACAATTTTATATAAAACATAAAAAAAAATTATGAATATAAAAATATAATAATATCGTTTTTGTTTTCATTCCTATCTCTTGATCAAGTAAGTCTTTCTAATTTTCTAATCATGAATTTATATATATGTATATACTTATATATAAAATTTAAAATTAATATTATTATAATTTACAATATTTAAAAAATAATTTTTTTTTTAAAATACATTACAATCACATTACGACAATTTCTTTAATAAAGATTAAATTTTCAATACGATTGCATAATATTTACTTGTTTATGTACATACATAATATGTAGTTATAATTAAATTTTTTATTTTTAAATTGTTCGAGAAATTACCTACATTTTCTTTTGTTTAAATAAATTAAAAACAATATGTCTAAGTTAATTAAAAATTTGAATTTTAATTTAAAAGATCTCATATGTTATACCATTCTCAACAAATAAATTCCTATAATTCCCTTGCTGACATTTTAAAATTAAATTAAAAAATTATTGCAAAACATGTATTGGGTATATTTTCTATTGTATTGTATTAATTTATACATTTAATCAATGTAATATAATAAATTATTGGCGTTAGATGAGCGGAAGCCATTTAAAAAAAAAAATTTAATTTTAATTAATATTAGAATTATGATTGAATGACATAAAATAAGATTTAAAAAATTTTAAGGGTTGTATAAAAATTTTCAAAATTTGATTTTTATTTTAATTAATAAAAATTATAACTATTTCATTCTTAATTATTCATTTTTGTAAAATTTAATTAATAAAATTATTTTTTTTTTTCATTTTTTGTTTATAAAATTGTTTATATTATTAATTGAACGATCAAAACTTTAATTTAAAATTTTTGCTACAGTATTGTTCAACCCTGTCTAATTTCATATTTAATTTTATTTAGTATTGTAATTTTTTTTTTATATAAAATATTAAAATCTATTGTAATAAGCATTTTAAAGCATAGTAGTTTTTTTCTCGATATTTCAATTCTTAAATTTACAACTGCAGAGTAATATTTGAAAGCTCTACAATTAGAAACTATGCCGTTTTGACTCCCAGAACTGTAATATCGAAAAGATCTGTAATATGATGCATATATTATGACTTTTTGGTTTTTTTTTGTAAAGGACATTATGTAGTTTACAATTTAATGATATTTTTTCTATAGTTTATCTTAATTATTAAAAATTTACTTAAATTATATAAAATGTATGTTTGTATATAAAAATTTAAAAATTAAAATATTTAAAAAAATTAACAATTTAAATTTGTCGTTTTGTCATGTTGATCTTATAAAAATTAAAAAAAAAAACAAAAACAAAATTAATTTAACAATTCTTACATAATTATTAACAATTGATTTCAATTATAAAAGAATTTTTTGATTTTTAAAATATCTATACTAAATAACAAAAAAAAAAAAAAACAAAAAAGCAAGAAATTTTAATTAAAAATAATTTAAAAGCTAAAAATTTTTTGATTATAAAACGCTTATTTCGTCTTTTTATAATAACATGCTAGGGTTATCTTTTAAAGCTGCCGATGATAATATTGGTAAAATCATTGATATTGTTGATAAAACTGCTGCAAAATGTGATGTTGTTGTTGGCAAAGATGCATATATAGGACCACTAATCAAAGCTCCAATATGTCCTCCACATACAAAAACTCCTAGAGCTGAACATCTAAAAAGTAAAATATTTATTAATAAATTTTATAAAATATAGATTAAATTAAGTGAAAAATTATATGAGCAAAGGCAAATTGTGAATACCTTATTGATGTAACATATGTTTCTACTGATAGAACTGTTAATGCAACAAGTCCAGCTAACATTAATCCTTGTGCTGTACCACCAGTCCATATAACATGAACATCAATAAATAAAAATCCGAATGCACAACATAACATTGCAGCAAATGTAAAACATGTTGCTATTTTAAATAAAATAATTATAAATTTTATGTTTTGGTCTTCTAAGCTTATTATAATATTAAAACTTACTTGCTATTCGACTTCTTCCAAATCTATGCACAAATTCACCTATACAAGCCACCGCTATAACACCAGGAACTAATCCACCTAAATTTGAGCGCCATATTGCTTCTAAAAATATATTATAATCAAAATCTTGATCACAACTTGAATCTAAGCGTATTATATCAGTATTATTTTTTGTTGTATTTATAAAATGGCGCTCTGTTAAATCGGTGTCGATTAACCTATTTTATCAAAAATGATTAAATATTAGTAATTTTTTCTATGGTAGAAGAAGTAATATCAAAACTTACTTTACGTTATCGAAGGCAGCGTTAAGGAAGTTTGTTTGACTTGTTCTAATATTTGAAAATTCGGTATTTACAAATGTACAATTTTCAAAGAAGACATGACTTATATAAACACCATGGAATGTACAATTAATAAATTTGCAATTTGAAAAAATCAAATTTTCAATATTTCTATCAAAGACGGAATTCTCGAATGTTAAATTAACTTTCGTCGTCTATAAAATTAATTAAAAATTTTATTAAATTAATGTTCAGATTATTATTACTATTCATTGTATAACAATTAATGCATTTATAATTGAATTCATACCGTTTGTTGTTTAAAATTTGCCAATTCTATTGTTCTAGAATGTTCAGCAATAAATATCGTTAATCCATGGAATACAAATACTGTTGATGCCCATGCTCCTAGCATTAAAATTGTTCTACGTGCATATGATTTTGTAAATAATTGAAAGAAGCTGCTGAAAAACTGAAAATAATATAAAAAAAATTAAAATTTAGAATATTTTACAAAATAAAAAATTACCAAACGAACACCTTGTATCATTCCAGCTAAAACTGATGTTGTAACACGATGCCTTTGATATCTAGTACCCGGTAATTCTAATTCAGTTAATGTATAACCACCACGTGTTCTATTTGTACGAAATATTTTTTGATATATTGATAATGCTTCAACTTCTCTACCACTATCTAATAACCAACGTGGCGATTCTGGTAACCAAAATAAACCGAATATTGAACCAAATGTTGGTAATGTTACAACTAATAAATAACTATGCCATACACTAAAATGTTCTTTATTTTCATCCATAACCGTTTGACCAGTTTGTGGTACCATTGTTATTGCAACACCACCAGCAAATATTGCACCAGCAACACCTAATGTACTAAATAATGATATAACACGTGATCTAGCATTATTTGGTGATATTTCACATAAATAACTTGCACCAGCTGGTAATGTACCACCGACACCAGCTGCAGCACAAAATCTTGCCATCATAAATGGTCCATATGTTGGCATAAATGCAGCTATTACAGAAAATACACTTGATACTGCTAAACAACTTAATAATGTTTTTCGACGTCCAATACGTCCGGCAAAACCGCCCCAAAATAATGCACCACAACTTAAACCCAATAATGTTATTGAACCTAACCAACTTTTTTTATGTTCTTTTATACAAAATTCAAGTTCAGCTGATGGTAATATATAAAGTACTGCATAAATTTGTATTGCATGACCAGCTAAACCTAAACCAACAATTAAAGCGGCTAGTAATTGAAATTTTCCGCAACCAGTCTATCATCATGAAAAGAAAATAAAAAAAAATTAAATTAATTTTTTTTCCATAATCTTTATAAAAAATTTTCAAATTGAAAAATTATTTTTTAAAATAAAAATTGAAATTTCAAAAATGGTTTTTCATGTTTGTGCATTAGTATGTGTACAAGTGTATGTTGATATGTGAATAAGTATAACTATTTGGAAGGATTTTTTGAATTTTGTTCAGCTTTTAAATTTTCCTTGATTTCCCTTGTACAGAGGAGCGCAATTAGTGGATTCTACTCTGTTTGGTGAGTGCATTGCGTACTCTATGGAAGTAAGGCATTTGGGGTAACCCTAAATCACCTGAAAAAAATAAGGTCATCGAAACGGTGGAGACGGTCATGTTGGCATATAGAAATTTCGTTGGTAAGTCTTGGGGCATTAGTTCTAAGATAGCATCGTGGCTATACACGGCTCTTTCAAGGTCTATCGTCATGAACATGTCCGAGGTAAGTGGTCAACGAATTGGAACAAGTAAGTGGTCAACCGGGGAAGCTTCGCAAACAGGCCGGTTTAGGATTTACTGGGACAATGCAGATTACTCGCACGGCTACTTTGAGAGCATTCGTTGGTCTGTAGCTCTATATTGTGCGGAAAATTCGTCTAACAGTTCGCCAAATTCTTATTAGTAATGAAAGTCTGAAGGGAATAATTGGGCTACGACAGTCATTTAGTTTTTAGAATCGAGAATCGAGTTCATGGAGTCGAGGGAGACTTCACTTCAATTCACACTAACACTTTAATTCTTCAAGCGTATATACAGTACTTTTAACTGTGCACATATCACCTTATATAAATTAGCAGTTTAGGTACGCAAATTTATTCCGGCAGATGTCTTCACATTGTGAAATTTGTGAAATTGTTCCTCTAAACCTAATGTAGTTTGAAACTTTAATATAGTTTGAAGTTTTATACGTTTACAATGTTATAATACATTAAATTAAGCACTACAAATGTTATACGAGTATAATCACTGTGCCATTACAATTCTTTAAATTTATAACTTAAATTTTCTTTTTGCAATATCACACAATTTTTTAATTTATTGCATATTTCATTTCCATAATATTTTAATAATAATTAAAACTTTACAGTCTACTTGTCTCATTATTGTAAAATGGGAATTAAACGATTTAATATAAGCATTTCTTTTTTTCCATTTTATTAAAAAACGTTATGATTCCCTATATATTGTAAAACAATTGCAACCTTTCATAATTCATACAATCATTTTATTCAATTCTTGAAAATTTCATATTCTGAATAAGTTTTTATCTTCATCTGTCTGTCTGATTAATAATTTTTTTTTTTGATTTTCATTCTACATCTGTTATACAATATTATATAATGTGTAATGGATGTGTTTAGTTCTGTGCTACAATGTATAATGCATAAAAATATGTGAGAATTTTTTTTTTTATAAATTACCTGTTTTATGGCATCCGCATGAAATTGACTAATTAAAATATCATCACTATAATCTATCAATTCACCTGATTCTGATTCATGACTTTGAGATCCACGTCCTGAAGATATATTTGCCTGTAAAATATATAGAATACAATATTTTAGAATTAAATATTAATCAAAAAAACAAAAAAAAACGAAATGAGAAAAGAAAAACAAAAGAGATTGTATGTATATAGTAAATGAAAAATTAAATTGATTTCCCTTATGGTTTTCTGTATCGTTTCTTAAAAATAAAATGAAAAGTTAAAACGTGAAAAATAGTTTTTCCATATATTATAATAGAAAATTTTTCATTTAAAATGGGGTTAAGTTTAATTATCTGTGCATTCTATAAGTTTTTTATATATTGAAATAGATAAGTGTTATACGTTTTTTTTTTTAACAATTGAGGTTTTGTTTTTCTTTTAAATTTATTGCAATAGAGAATTAATTTTGATGCCATAAGTACAATATGTATTCCGTATTTTAAAATCTATGATAGTCGAGAAAATGTATACAAACTTTTCAGATTGCCAAATGGTTTAGCATTTAGTAGATAAATAAAAATATTGATTTTTTGTCTGTTTTTTTTAAAAGGAATTCAACCGAATGTGTATTTGTTTCAATGTTTGTTTCCATGTTTTATAATTGCATGTTGTTATACACATAAACCTAATGCAATGTCAAATGTTTACGATTATTAAATTGCAAATAAATATAAATTTTGTTATAGATAACAATTTTTAGACGTGATAGAAGTAATAAAACTCTGTTTACCATTATACTCACTAAAAGGAAGAATATAGAAATAACTAAAAGAAATAATTATGAAAGTCACTGTAATTTTGAAGCGGCATATATGAGAAATACTTGATATTACTAATTAACAAATTCAAAAGTTCTTGTAGATATTTGGTATCACAATGATATATTCGCTCAGAATATATACATATATGTATATCTGAGAAAGTGTTATACTTCAAAGTAGAACATTATATTCATTTTATGATATATCCTAATATGTTTGTATTTTACGTGTATTGTACAATTTTAAACACACTATACAAGTCACAAGCACCTTCTTAGAGATTTTGTTTAAAATAAACTTGAGTCAAACTTATAGAAAATCAATACTTTAAATTAATAATCATAAAAAAAAAAAAAGTATTATATTTCGTACAAACCCCTTTGACTAATAATTATTAAAGAGTTACAACCAGTTTGGAATAATTTTTTTTCAATAAAAGAACCTCCATTTACAAATAAGTAAAAATATTACAACAAATAGAGCCTCCATTTAAAGAATCTCCATTTGCAAATAAGTAAAAATATCACCACAAATAGAGCAATAAAATAAATTCCTCTCAAAAGAATTCCATACTTTTAAGAAATTCATATAAAGTGATAAACTTTTCAAAATTTTTTTTAAAAATAAAAGTTTGACTTAAAATTTTTTTAACAAAATTTGACTTGTTGTAGCTAAATTAACCTTAAAAAAGTGTAACAAGGAATTTCTGACTTTAACCGTAACTTAATTTAATTAAGTTTTTAATAATTGCCAATGATAATGCTTACTATAAAATGTGATTTCATTCATTAATCCATAGAGGCTACTTAAGTGAGTATTTTTAATATTATAATTAAATTTCTTATTAGAACAGTAACAGTCAGACAAAAACAGTATTTAACAGTAATTAGATGCATTTGATAACAGAAAATTTTAATAGAACATGAAATCAAAATATAAGAGATTAAAGATATTAAAAGAAAATTTTAATTTTTTTTTTGTAATTAAAAATGCTTTTGGGAAAATTTGAGAAAAATTAATGGTGTGAAAATCAACTAAACGTTACTTATGTTTTATGAATATAAGAATATGGTTAGGTTTGCCAAGCAACAATTCTTTTTTGTATCGAAAATATTTTTTATTATGTTATAATAACGATTTACATGGTCTATAATACACTGGTTTTTTCTTTTAAAGTTCTTCTATGAGATATTCATTCTTAAGAAGATAGTCCGGAGTATTTCCAAAAATAAAACATCTTCAAAAACCAGTCACGCTAAATTTTAAATTAAAACGATAATTGCATGTTTCTACAACTTTTCTGTCCAAGCATATATTCTTTAATGAATTAATGTACCTACTTAACTAAAATTATAATTTTAAAGAACATAAAGTTATAAACTAAGATCAACTATCCCATAAACATTTCTTGACCAACATTAAATTAACAAAAATTACTATTAAAGCTTATTGAGGACTTAGTGTCAAAAAAAAAAGACAACTTTTTATATCAAAAAACAAATTTATGGGTTTTTTCTTCTCTTTTTTGTTTCCTTTTTCACTTTTAATGAAAAGCACACGTGTATCTGTCGTTTTCAAACGCTAAATACGGAACTAATTTAAATATTCTATTTTTATACCTTTTAATTCATATCCTTCTTATATATATATATAAAAAAAAAATTATACACGTAAACTTATTATATTTAAATTTAATGATTTAAGCCTATTTTTATTATACACGCATATGTATTTGGTTTGTTCAGTTTTAAGCACATTTCCAATAAATTTTTGAAAAAAAAAATTCTAATCTGTTAGTCTATCTATTCACAAAGCTTCTAAATAATCAGTTTAAAGAAATCTGGAGATTTTAGGGAAAACATTATTTCTCTAAAGAAAAATTTGTAGAACTCTAGATATTTATATTCTAGCAGGTGTGATGCTTTCAAGTTATGGCCTTGAAAATTCAATCTGATTGGTTCCTTCATCAGCTGTTGAATTCAAAGCATAGGTAATTTGTAAGTAATAAAAAACGCAGAAAACAGACACTTATTTTCTGCTATAAGAAACTGCAAGAAAATTTCAGTTTGTCGAATTAGCCTTTCAAATTATATTTCCGTTATCTTATAGGTTCTTAACATAAATTTTTGAATGGAAATTTGCTTAATTAAATTCCTTTTGTATTCTATCATTTCAAACTACAATTATAACGCATTGAAATCTTTTAATATACTTATGTATACAGCTTATGTCCTTTCCTTTTTATTTAATTTTTTTTAATAAGATTTAAGGACTCTCTCTCTCTCTCTCATGAGCTCCATAATAAAAAATAAAATAAAAAAATATTCAACAACACCAAATTGGTGATTTACTTAATTTTTTAGTACAAAAATAGAATTGAAATGCTAAAGGAAAAAAAAAGTAACCATCACGAAAATCATGACAAAAAATTTTACTTCCTCTTGAAATAAATATTTTTTTTTCTTTTTGATTATCTACTCTACATCATTAGAATATTTTCGTTTTCTTTCTTTATTTGTGTGTTTGTGTGTATTTGTATAAATAAAAAAATTATGAATAATATTTTTTTTTTTTCATTTTACTAAATTAAATGTTAAAAATAGATAATATATGAGTATAGAGTAACAAACTTATGACAAACCCAAAATGAAAATAATTTCAAATATTTTTTTATATAAAAAAAAAAAATTAAACATTTATAATATACTTACACCACCATTACTATCTGTACGTGATCCATTATGACTACCTCTGGATGGAATTGAATTACCACTATTTGGACTTGAGCCACTACCCATTCTTGAAACACTATTCATTTGAGCACCGTAATATTGTGAAAATGTTTGTACACCGTCAGTGTATGGCATTAAACCAGGTGAATAATTAATATTATTACCGATACAATTACCAGTATTACCAATATTATTACTATTACTGTTATTACTATTATTAATACCACTGGTTATAATTCCACCTCCACTACTACTGCTTCCACCACCACCAACACCACAACCACTACTAGGTAATGTTGGTGATCTTGGATTAACAAGACAAGCTTCCTCTGATTCCTCGGACATTACTGATCTTGATGTTAAAGTCATTTAAATTTATTTTTTGTAAATTGTTAAAATTTTTAATTATTAAATTATTTTTATTATTTCCAGGAAATAAAATCACTTTTTTCAATAATGACGACATCTTTTAGCGTTTTTTTATTTTTTTAATATTTAAAATTTATGGATGCACAAAGTAATAACAATAGAGAGTATAAAAGAAAAAAAAAATAACAAGGAAATGAAAAAGTTCGAAATTAATTATAAAAATTTTTTTATTTTATTTTTTTAAAAAATATTTTTTATTTTTTCATTTATTTTGTTTTTTTTTTCAAAATTATTTTAATTAAAATTATTTTTATTTTTATTTTATTATTTGTTTTTTTTCTTGTTTGTTAAAAATATTTTTATAACTTTGTTTCTGTTTTGTTTTTTTTTTTTTGTATTTGCTTTTCAGTAATTTAGTTTATAGCTTTTAATTTTTTGTAAATCTATATAAATAACGCACATATACATAAATACACATAATAACAATTAATAATTAAGAAAAATTTTTTTTTTTAATAAATTACTCTAGTAATTACGGAGTGCATTTACTTAACATTGAAAATGGAAATGAAGAAAATAAAAAAAAATTAAAATGAGAGAAAAACAACAATGAGAAAAGCTAAAAGGAATAAAAAATAAAGGAGAAATTTTTTTAAATACAAATAAGTTATAAAGTTCATCTTTTAATATGTAAATACAAAAGGACAATGCAATCCTCTTCCATATTATGATTAGAGTTGCCAAATTGAAAAGAATTTACGAAAAAATTGGGCTACTATTGTAATAGTGAATGGCGTAAAATATAGCATCATTTAGGACATCAAAAATCATTAAATTTTTTGTTAAAGCCCCGAGCTATAGGGATTTTAACGAATTTTCACGAAATTTTTACTTTCTCAAGTTGTTTTGCTTATAATTTCCCTTGCGAGAGAGATTGAAGCTTAAAACAAACAGTTTCTGAAAGGTCTTGAAAATAATATATTACTTGATTTTCTATTTTAAGTACTTTCGGAATCTCAATTATTCAAACTTTAGAAAAAATAAAAAAAAAAATTCACTTTCTTTAGTAATCATGTGAATTACAGTATAAGCAATGTAGAGAACATTTCGTCGGCAATTTCTTCATGCCTCTGTAGCTCAGTTGGTAGAGCGTCCGCCTAGAAAGCGGTAGGTCACTGGTTCGAGTCCAGTTCGAGGAGAAAAAAATTTAATTAATTTTTCTGCCTTTAACTCATTCCTTTAATTACGTCATCCATCTGTTCTGCAGTTGCATGAAGAAATTTCCATTAAGTTAAATTCACTTTCTTTATTTTTAAATCTTTTCTTTTTAAAAAAAAAATTATAATTTCTCTTCGTTTCAGTGAGTGCTAGTTTTTTCTTAAACAGATTAAAAACCTTTTTTTTTGACAAACGAAAATTTTATTTAAAAAAAAAATATCATTTAATTGTGAAATTAAATTTAAAATATCCATAAATCTATGTGTTTCATTGGTAACTACTCTAACTAGCATTTACGCCTGTCGACGTTCAAGCACATGCTTATATGTATATTAAGAAGTTGATAACAAGGGTTACACAAATTTGTTCCTAAACGTGATTTTAAAAGAAATAAATATTTTACAATTAAATGCAATTATTTTTTTTTGTGTCCCTTGTGGAATTAAATTCGATTAATATTTTAAAAAATTAATTAATATTTCTCAGTAAAATTTTTCACTTTACTACTCCAATTACCACTCTCTTTACTACTCTCTTTGCTACTTCGATTTGCAATCAAACGAAGACGGCAACATTTTTTTTTTAAAAATGCTTTCAATTTGGCAACCCTTATGATAATTTTTATAAAGTTATAAAAAAAAACTTTTATTTATATTCTTGTACACATTTGGTATATTCTTATGTAACATAACATTATATTTTACACATTTGATCATACGTTCAATGTATGCAATATACAAAGGTGAAAACATGTGCTGTGAAATGTTTAAATGAATTTGTAAATGTGTGCATAAAAACTTCAACTTTAAAACAAAAACAAAAAACTTGTATTTAATTTACCCTAACATTTTGAAATAGTCTATATAAACAAAGATGCTTGTGAAAATTAAAGTTTTTTATAATTATAGTACATACATACTTGTATGTATATTTATTTATACAAATGATAATGCTTTAATTGGTATTGTCATCCATAAAAAATAAAAAAATTTCAAGAAAATCAACATGCTTTCGTAAATTTTACTTATAAAATTAAAATTGTTTTTGACTTAAGTTTTTGATTTGATTTAAATTAACAATGAGAGAAATAGTATTAATTAAATGAACAAGTTGTTTTTGAAAAAAAAAAAGTTTTAATTACTTAAATTTAGTTTATGATTTGCAATTGTGCATTTCGAATAAATTGGTAATTGATCAATAACCATTTGCTCCTACGCATGTATGCAGAAGACTACAAGAGTCGTATGGTTCTACTAGTATGCACCTTTTAATAAATGATTTTAATTCGCCATTATAGCAAAATTTCAATGATTTTTCAAAGCAAAATTATTGAATTATCTATAAAGAACAAAAAACATTATATTTTTCTATAATTCGTTCATTTCAATAATTTCTCTCCAATATAATGAACTACAAACCCCAAAGTTAATTTTTGAATTTATTTTTTAATTCTTCAAGGAACAATTTCATAAATTGTTTAAATTATTTTTTACAATCAAAAATAAAATAATTTTTAATAAACACTTTAAAAGTATACGGTATAGCTAGTATCCAAAATTTATTATGACTGGTAGTATAACAATTAAAAATTATATACCAAAAAAATTATATAAAATTATATTTGAACTGCCATTTTTATTGGCAGTCCCAAACCAAAAACAAAAAAATGAAATCACGTACAAATATCAAAAAGTCAAATTTTTCTATATAAATCATTCCTTTATCTCTGCCTTTAAAGCCATAAAAAGGAAATAATAACATAATGTTATACTAAGTCAAATGGTGGGAGTGATTTTGGTTTATATTAATGTTTTTGCCATTTGCCTTTGAAAGGATCTATATGTGAACAAATGGCATAGTGATATATCAAATGTATAGAATAAATGAAGTAACAAAACTCATATTTTAGAATTTTGCGCACAATTTCGTATTAGACTAACGTGTTCTATACCATTATACAGAATCATATTATATCTGAGGAAGAATGAGAAAGATTGCAGGAGTTGTAGTTTATCAGTTAATAAATATAGTTACTGTGTTTTATACTTAAACAGCAAAAATGAGGCAAATAGATTTCTCAACTTTAATAATAAAATTCTTATTCAATAATATTTCGGAAATTAAATAACAACCGTATATATTAATTAGAGACTGCATTTAAAAATTCCAAATTAAAATTATTTTGATATCCTAGACTCGTGGATCCTTTTTTTTGGGTCATTTATAATGAGTTGTTCATGATAATTTTATAATTAGATTTTATTCATGAACAAATTTTCTCTGCATTTTTCTATATTTTTTTGTATTAAATGAATAATACAAAATTTTTCTCAATAAAAATTTTAAATTGAGAACTAATTTATAATTATTATAAAAAAAAATTTGGTATCCTTGAAAAATATTAATTCATCTATAGAATATTTTTATTCCAATTGAAGTTTTTGCAAAATTTAATTATGAATAAAAACAATTTTTATTCAACCATTTATTAATAATATGAATATAAATTTGTTTTTATCCTATAGGTATGCAATTTTTTTTATTAATGTCAATCCATAATATGAATTTTAAAATAAATTGAAAATAATTTGTAATTAGCTATAGCTAGGCTAGCTAGTTAATTATAATTTTTATTGAAAAATTTATTTTCACGTCAAATTTTATTAAAAGTGTTATATAATTTGTTACGAGTATGTATGAGATAAATTAAAAAGATGATCGGAAAGAGTTATTTTTAGTTAAGAAAAACTTTGGTAACAAAATTTATTTATACATACAAACTTTTTCAAGGCAATGTTTTCGAATATTCAACATGAAACCATCACATAATAGTAAATCAACTGATTTGAATTTAACCCAGTACAGTGAAAAGTTAAATAAGTAGATAGACGTTTACATATCAAATTCTTTCTTGCGTCGCGGTGTTGAATTTCGCTGTTCTGTCTCAATATTCATAAAGAGCTTAAAATAAATAAACCTTCTTTGTGAAAAAAGTTTGAATTATTTTGGTTTCATTTTATAATTGTTGGAGCTATCAGCCTGTAAATATTGTTAAATCTCGAACAATATAAAAATTTCAAAATTCAAATTGTTTTCTTATTAATTTAATTACAATATAAATTTCCTAAATCTTCACCTGTTAATCTTAAACCTAACCTCTTATGATTTTAAATGCCTCCCATTTATAAATCAAGCACATACTTTAAATAAATTTTATTATATAAATTGTTTTATTTCCAAAAACCAACATTATAAATATTTTCACTTCTTATAACTCATACTTTGCTTTAAGTACTCTACTTAATATTTGTATATCATAGAAAATAATTGGATCGTTTATCATAATATACTCATACCTTCATTATCGAATTCTATAGAATAAATCTATTCATACTATTTTTTATAAAGTCCGAAATCTAATTGTATAATTATAAAGGCATACACATACATACATATAAGAAAATTTTTATTTGCAATTCAAGAAATGTTTTTATTTTACATAAAATTTTTCTTGAAATTTTTTCTCATAGCATAGCGCACAATGTGATATATATACGCGTGTATATACATATATATATATGTATAATATATATAAACCATTCGCAAAGCAATTATATTATGTGCTCTAAATAGACATGTAAAAAAAAAAAAAAACAATTCTCTTTATTTTTACTTTAATTTTTTTTTTTGTTATTGTGTTTTTCTGAAAAGTTGTTTGGCCTCAAGGCACACTTTAAAAAAACATTTCTGAACAAATAATAAAAGGAAAAACAAAAAATATCCTCTTAATAAGAAAATAACACAAGAAAAGAGAAAAATGGCATGGATTTTTACACTGTGTGCTTAAATAAACGGAAAAACATGTTCGTTTGTTTTTTT